CTTTGTCCAAAGTTCCTATGAAAAGACCGTATAGGTATTAACGACAACCTTTCAAAGGAATGTGTTTGCCCTTCTCAGTAGTTCTATAATCCGCTTCCCTTAACTTCACAAAATTTCTGAAAAATTGGTGATGCAGGGAGACGAGTGTGAGCGAGGTTTATGGGCAGAGACATACTGTACGATTACTTTTGAGACGACTCCCTCCCATGGGCGAGGAGGGCATGCTCATAGCTACGGAATACTACTACCTTCGGCAGTAGAGAAAGCGCTGAAGAAAAGCTAAAGGGGTGCTAGCTGCATTTTTTGATGTCTTATACATAGCTGTCGCAACTCAGATACGCAACACGCCACATTTCCAGACACACGCTTAACCATAGCCACATGTGATACTTGTCTGCGTCCTCTCACATCTGACTTTTATTCGTTTCACGCACGCGCACATCCTGCTGACGAAAATGCCACACATATACGGCTGCAGACCTGCCCACCTTGCAGATGGCATGGACTAATCTCGTAGCTAGCCGCACAGGGTGTTTAGCTATAGTTGTCAATTCAGGATGAAAGAAAAAAAATACCATAAGACAAACCGGGAGTCGTTAAGGCCCTTCCTGTTTCTTATAGCACCAATGGCTCACTTCTTGTCTTATAGTTAGGAAAATGGAGTGCCCGAGGCCCAACAGATAAACAAAGTCATGGTCATGGTGAGAATAGAAAAGTGAACGAGGTTAGAGAAGGAAGGAAAATCTATGGTACATCAGTCATCATTCAAGAATCGGTGGGGGTGAAGTAGTGTAGTAATATGGTATTGTAGCAGAACTACGTTCAATAGTGAGTATATAATATTTGGTTATGAACTAACTTGAACATATGCGAGCCTTCTACATTGTCGGTAGTGGTGTCTTCCGAGACTTCCTCACTAGTCTCCCGGACTTCTTGCAAGTTTGTCCACCGAAACCGACAATGCTCCACTCAACGGGCGTCTATGCAAGGATCCAGTGGACCTGAACATAAACCACTACGCTCTTTCAAAGGACTGGTCTTCAAACAAGACTGACAAAAGACTCAGAGTATCAGCCGATCAAAGCCTCACCTGTATTTGTGAGGATGTTCCCTGAATTCAGCAACATTAGTGATTGATCCAGTGTAGAACACATCTTTTCTGTTGATATAGCCAACATTTCTCTCTCCTACCGTTTCGCTTCGTTTCCTCCAAGCACCTGCAAGATCTCAGTCTTTCCACTTCTGGCAAAATTACAACAAGTTTGTACACTGCCCATTCATACACTCACTGCACAACAATAGGGGTTATTGAAGCCTTCAACCAAAAAAAGCGGAGCAAACTGAAGAAGAACTGAAAGGTAAAGTGGACGAATTCCGCTTTGATGAAGAAGTACAGTGGGGAAGTTCCCCACAAAGAAGATGTGAATCAGTTTTAGTTTTTTACTTTTTACAGTAACGTGTTGAAGACAGGTTAATAATTTGGTGCCCTCAGCAACTACCTGTCTTGGTGCTCCAGTGGTGAGACTATAGGATAGAACCAGCAAGGCAAGACATACCGTCCTGATCACTGCAAGCGATTGGTCGTGTGACGGGTGGAGTCTTGATTGGAGCGCTGCCAAGGCGGCCTTTCTACCAGTGATGCCATTCTGAGTCCGCAACAACTGGCGGGAGGGGTGATTTAGTTACCGCCCCGTCACACTCCCCATCGTTTGCAGTGGATCATGACTACATATAGACTCACCCAATGAGAACCCTGCCTTAAAGGCACATTCCGCGATAAAATAAGGCTATGACCTCTCAAATGTGTCGGACGATCCGGAAGGCGATTTTTGAGGCTGCGCTACTTTCAAAATGTGAAAAACGGCAAGAACTCCGCTAGAAGCTGACTAATTAGGCCCATGGACACCCCTTAGGCCCATGCCGACCCTCACCCTAGCTACTAGCTAGTAGCCACTATGTTATCTTTCTCTATAACATTTCGGACTGCTTTTTCTGCTGCTTTTCTCCGCTAATCAGATACTTAGCACTTTTTTGTGCCTATTTGAGTTCCGTTTCCCGCAATTTGCGGTCGCGAACTGTGCCTTTAACAAAATGAGCAAGTTAGCCATTTTCACTAAACCCGTATTCCTGTTCACGAAATCAGGTTGATAGTGCGCTGCGATGGTATATCGTATGCCAAGGATTAGACTAATTTCATGGACACGCCACTTCCACTCAAGTTCACAGCGCCACTCAGTCGCGATAGAGCAGTGATTTGCAGATCAGCCGAGGTACAACTCAGTATTTCTCATAACGCACAAGCTTGAAACCGGAAGTCGACCCGTAGAATAAAAGTCTTGGTTGGATTCGGGAGTCTTGCTCCCAAATCCAGTTAAGTGAAGCAATGAGACAAAACGAAATGAGTCAGTGTTTCGCACAATCTCGTGACGATTTTCATAGGCTATTGTGCCCTGCCTATGCCTATGATTAGTTGAAATTCTTAGCAATGACGCGAAAAGATTTGCTCTGTTGAAGAACCCTAGTATGGCCAAGTCCATGGCTTAAAGGCAGATAAGTCAATAATTCTATACTCGGGTATAAAACGGTAGCAGGGATGCTATATAGTGGAAAAATGGCGAAAAATGCGAGGTTAACCGGTCAAAAACCTGCAGTAAAAAAAACTCAGCTCTACACGACTTCCAGACGAGCTTCCCGTTTGCATCGTGCCAGTGAGAGGTGCGGTAGATACGACTTCATGTATGTACCCATATAACCGTGCAGCACCGCCGTTGCTTCCTAGCAATCCTTTCAACTCATATTATACTTCGCAAATGAAGCGATGCGAGCATCAGCATTGGTCGGACACTTGGGGTCCGGCGAGCGCAGAGTGCGTCCCGGCCGGTGCGTTGCAGCGTGAAAGGGCGCTATAAGGGTATCTTCTCTGGGAAAGACGCCACGTAGCGCCTGCTTGAAGTCGCCGAATTCTTTTCTGTTAGGCGTGTCAATCCTATACCGTTGGAGATTTATTGTGCCACTCGCCTTCAAGTTCTCGTACTGCACGAGTGCTCGAACAAGTTTCAATGATGACGTGGAAAATGCTTATCCTACCTGAACTGTTTTTGTAGAGCGATCTTTAAGAGGACTGAAGTAGACTTAACACATAAGTAATAAAAGCACAACTACATTATTCTCTAAAACCCATTTATACCGAAAGTAGACAAACATTCAAGTAGGCGCCAGGGTGTTGAGCTCAACAACCTTTGTATAAAGCATGTTTGGTTCGAATGAGTGTCGTGATCCCTGTGAAACTGGTAGAAGACTTTCAGCAGTTATTCTAATTTCTAGTGCGTTCATGCCAGATGAACGAAAGCAGTTGGTCCAATACACTTGGGTTCGCATCAAACCAGTCAACGGTGATTGAAGAACAAAACAAGCTCGTTGTACTGGAACAACTAGACGCGGACAATGTTTCATCCACTTGGCCGTTATTGAAAAGCTATTATAAACCAAGAGGGAGCAAACTCCATTGTGAAAATAAAAAAGTCTTCGACGAGAATAAGAATCGATCAGCACACCAGCAAGAAAGTCAGCACCATAATAGGCATGTGATGCATTGGTTCATTCCTGACAAGCTCTCTGATGGTGCGCTAAGGCAAAAAATCTCATTTCTACAAGAGCATTTAGTACCAGAACCCAACCTGGATCACAAATATACCCTGGGCAGCGTTCAGACTTCGTGACCAAAGCGCTGCTGTCGCGAAGTCTGGACGCTGCTTAAAGGTGAAGCTCGCGTTCGTTTGATGCTCCCACGCTTTCTTTGGACATGGTAGCTCTCCCTACAAGGACGAATTTGATTACTGTTACTAATTTTGTAGCTCGAAAGTACGAGATGGGAGCGCGCTGCTCGCTCGCGACAGGACCGAGGCTCCGTCCACTGGACAACGCCCAATTCCTTTCTAATGGCTTCGTGGTGGTTATGGTTATTCCTCTACTCTCTCATTTCGGATATGATGAGAGTGAAGTGATAAAGTAAGCATATTAGAATTTCGCAACCAAGCAACTGATAATATTTGTCCGACCAGCCCACCCCTCTCCTCCTTAGCATTATGGCACCTCTAAACCTCGGCTTCCCCTCAACACTCAACATGAGATTTCCGTACTGGATCATTTCCGCGGCGGATTTCCGTTTTTGCTTATTTCGACTGCCTACGTTCCACATGTATGCCTCTGGCCAATAAGATTTCTGAGCGCATTCACCACTATTTGCGCGGGATCATCATTGCACATTTGCGAGTTAGCTATGTACAGCTTTCATATCACCCGAGGAGATCGTTGAGGTGTACCCGATAGGGACGCCGCTAACATTTCCGCGCACCCGATATAGCCAAGTGGACCGCAGGATACAGATGTAAAGCCATAATACACTAGCCGTCACTCAAAACTCACTGGTGGATTTACTCAGCTGCCTAACTTCAACACGAATATAGCTTATTCGTTGTGAGCAGGGCTACAAGCCTGCCACTCAGACCCGCGAAAATATGACATCATGCTAGGTGCTCTCTTTCTCTGACGCGCACAATCTCTGTTAGCACAATCGGCTTAGAATTGAAATCGCCGACACGAAATTCAAGCTACCAAGCATTTGCGACGTGCTTCTTCCTTTTGGTTAAATAATACCCAGCCAATATCCAGGAAAATTACTGTCAATAGATGACTGTGCTTCGTTTTTCGCCCACGGTGAAAGAGGAAGCTTAAGAAACTTATGTCAGCGGAAAATCGGCAGGATCACCTCCTGGATTGCGCATAGTTCATTCAGAACCATTTTCATTTTTGCTGGGCCATACCAAGCAATACAATTCGTCGAGTGCATTACTACGTACGTTCAGACAGACTATGCTAGTTTTTTGCTGTATCCAAACCGGTTCTCTGTCTTTATTTCGTTATAATGACGTCATGCTATCAGGAAGCTAGTCATGCGGAAGAGCGCCTCATCTGCTGGTTTTTCGGGTATTCGGATATTTTTATTGTGTAAACCAGTCAACTGCCACCTAACTTAGTTCTCGTTTCGCTGTGACGATGGGCGTGTTCCAGACTGGCCGCGCCGCCAACGCTTTTTTATTTTCTATTCGGCATAGCAGTGTAACGGCTGTAATCCAATCGACTTGTTCCATAGATTAGTCGTTTCTTTACCAAGCTGTTTGACCTGTAACTGATCTCAAGACACTGCCTTGAAACTGTGCTCGCCGAGTCCGACAACCTAGCCCCCATTGTACGGACCCCTTGCCCCGTGGACTATCGACCATAACATGATTGTACCTCTATTTCAGGCAGCGCACAAACACACCAACAGCCCGTATCTAAGTTTACTATAAGCAAAGTCCCAGCGAATTAGGGCTACAAATCATCACACCAACGTCCGTCATAGATTCTACTCGACCTACACTACGAACAAAATATACCAAAACCCTTACCCCATCTTTTGGAGATGAATGAGCAACTTCACGAGCCCTTCAATGAATCATCATCTAGCACACCAGCCGCTCCCCACCGTCCGATATCTTACGGCATATTTTGTATTTATCTGTTGCCAAACATCTCCCATAATTCTCCCCTCAGAAGAAGAATACTTCGTGCATCGGAAGCCTCGTGCAAGAAGAAGGGCCCCGAGCGAGAAGCCCTACCTACGAAAGTCCACAAGTGATCCTATGTTTTATTAGCAAAACAAACTGACCCAGACGATATGTAACACTATTTTACTATGACAAACAAAGTCTCCCGTCAAGAGAATTAATTATCGTCAAAGATAGAGGTCCTTTACTATGTTTTAAAGGTATCCATCAGAATGCCCTGCAGTCGATGCGGCAAAAGTCGGAACGTACGGGCGGGCACTCGAACCCGCATCCTTCTGTCTTTACCGGGCGCAGTTGCGCCGTATACCACTTAACCGCCTACCGGAACGGCATATCTTGACACTATCCCGCTCACCGACTATTGTGCCCATTAGCACTGTCGAGAACACTCACACCGCTTCAATAGTCGATGAGCCGGTTAGCGATATCCGGCAGTGAACACCGCCAACGCTGACAGCGTTGATAACATAAGCTAGTTTTATACGCGCACTTGGGCCGAAACAGCCCCTAACAACCACGCAGGTAATATCAAACACCAAAACACATCTAAAACTGTTTAAAGGTTATCAGGTATATTTTACACATGCTCAGTTTTCCATACATAATAGATAAAAGCGTAATACAGACCAATAATATTGGCCATTATCTGAAAATTCTGGCGTTCTTACCAACTAAAAAACAACAATCAACGAGCTAATTGATCGCCTTTGATCGGACAACAATCCCCTTAGCGGGCTTCTTCATTTCCGAGTGTCGGATTGGATCTTGAAGGGCGGGAAGGGGGCATTCTGCACTACCATCTACTTACTTTTGACTAACTTCATAGTTCATCTGTTAGCGCTTAACCACTGATTGAGCACCTGGAACTCCTGTGGCTACCGTGAATGGTACTAAGTGAGCTACCAAACCTATTGACCTATGTAGAAGTTCACAGGATACTCACAGCTGCTCCTGAACATAAGAATTCGGATATCTACGATTTGGTGCCCCACCAGCCGAATGCGCTAGTCTAAACGAACACCCGCAACGCTGTTATTATTGTTCTTCATCCGATCGCCTAATCTAGTTCTCACGCTTTCACTGAAGGCTAGCACCAATTGGTGCAATCTTCCAACACATATTTCCCAAACTCCACTCCACTTCTTCGTTTCCCCTGACATTTATTGGGGTTTGTGCCCCAACCACCAACAGTAACATAGCGCCTCATCCTCCGCCATCGTTCCAATTATCGCCCTAACGAGTGTTGGCTGCCCTCCATCAATTCAGCCTTGAAGGATAACTTTCGCCGAATGTAAAAGCCACTCGTTACAATTAAATACCTTACTAAAAAACCTCCAAGACCCCATTGTTCCGATGCAGTAGGCTGCAGAGGATACTACGGATCCTTCTCGTCCCTCCACTTCGCCGCGAATGTTCACTCCCGGTCGAAAGGGCGAAATATGAGGTATGAAAAAGAGATCCCCTCCAAATTACTAATGAAAAACTCAAAGCACCTCGCTCGCGCAGCAGGCAAGGACGAGCTCAGTTACAAACGCCAACTTCTATATTTATTTGATTGCCCTAAAGTCAGCCCCCCACCCTTCCCCTCCCCCAAGGATTCAGCGAAAAGAAACCCAGCCCCATTGACAGGAGCAATAACGAACAGCCATAGGCACGAACAGAAGAAGTCAGAAGGAGAAGCGCATCGCACTCACACGAGAACAGAACTATTATCACCCGACGTGCCCACCACCCCGCACAACCACCACCCCCCCCCCCCCTCCCCCCCCCGACCCCACGCACCCCCCACCCCCCCCCCCCCCCCCCCCCCGCCCCGCCACCAGCACACCCCTCCGAACCAACCCATCGCACCCCTGAGAATCTGACTGTTCGCCGCAGTTCTGCAGAATAAGAGATACCCCGATGCGTAAACTAGAAAAGGCAATTCTGAAAACGCAAAAACCCCTCGCGTTGTGACGCCACTGCCAGCGTCACCAAAAGTATTTTATCTAAAAAGGCCAGAAACAAGGACTCACGCGCTTCTGCATCCAGACAGCAACTGATATCTTCCAGATTCGCCTTCTCTCGAGCGAAGTCCATCGTACTTTTATGGCAGGTGCTTTTTCAACTTATGAAGAAAGAAGCAGCAAAATTCTCCTGAAAGTCTCACACTTGAGAGTGACATCGTCTTCAGATAAGTAGTTCTACCTCACCTCGATTGCAGTATCCTTCGGCTTTTTCATCTCAATACTGTCTTCAGCCTCTTCCTCCTCGCTTACCTCTCGGAACTGCAATGGCCGGAAAGTCCAGCCACAGAGAACACACAGGGCGCAAGAAACACCTGTTAAAAATTATCGCTGGCTATCTACTATCAGTCGTTCGTGTCGGTGCGTGAGGAAAATTGAGACCAGCAATAGGGAACGAAAAAAATCCAAATAATGAGCTGACCGCAATGCCGTACAAATGAAAAATGGGCCCAATGAAGAGAAACATTTTTTGCTCGATTCTCAGGCACTCTTACACTCTTAGCACTAAGCTGAGGGCGCGCCAAGTGAGTGCAGTTTCCAAGTGGCGCCGACTTAGCCAATCCTGGGTTCGATTCCCAAGCGGACTCCCCGCCCATGGCCAACAAGCCTTCCCATCCTGCGGAGGTCGACAACGGTGGTAAATTGGTACCAGATTCGTCTGGGAGGATAAAACACTGACTTGTACATCGGCTGGCCCCGCAAGTCATTGTATAGGCCACATCGCATTCAATAAGCCACTACGATTCTGAATGGAAGTAGAATGCGTGCCGCATCCCACAAAGGGATTGATCACGGCGAACCCTTATCCTTATACTGTGGCTCGCTGCGGACGAAGGGCAAGTCAGGCAGTATGAGTGTGTCACAGCGAAAAACCCGTTCTCTGCCAGTTGTTGAAGCGGGTATGCCACAATGATTGGCAGAAAACGAGTGGTACTGACAATACGATACAGATGTCATTTGCTCGCTTCAACAACTGGTGGAGAAAGGTTTGGCAGCGCGCCGAACTCATGCCTCCTGACACGCCTTTCGTTCGTAGTTAATTGCCTACAGCTGACCGTTTAAAGGCACGGTCCGCGATCAGGTATCGAAGTTGAAAATATGGCGTCAGGAGGTTAGAGTGGTCCGCGACGAACAACCTTGTACCGGTTTCGCGGCAAAAAATTCTATGGGAGGGGGGCGCTGTAGCGCAATATAGGTTCAGTGGCTCCTCCTTTTTTCCAGTGACTCCGCCTCCAGACTCCGCCCCTAATGACCGACTTCCAGTGAAAAATGAGATTGCAGGACGAAAAAGCATGATAATCGCCACTTGTACGATCGTAGAAATCTTATCGGTGAATCAGCCGTGCATATGAGGGCGTAGTTTTGGAGATAGAGTTGATTGGGCACGTACAAACTGGGATCGAAATGGGGTTCTATCTAGGGCAGGTGGCATGTTTTTGTGCTTTTTTTGTTCACAGTCGAGTTACTCAACCCCTTGTCGTCTATATGGAACCCCCTAATCCACCATCTGAGATGGCGAGTAATCGCGGGTTCCTCCTTTTAATTAATTCAAAAATGCCTAGAGTAATTGAATGACTAACCTTCGAATGCAAGAAATACTGCTCGCCATCCGTGGTTGCTGATAATGTACTCGTTGATCGGCGAGAACAATACTGTACCGACACCAGCGCCAGCAACAGCAATGCCCGTAGCTAATGACCTCCGCCTGAAAAGCATTTCATGAAATTTCAGCCCAGGTTTTATTACCTCTTCCGCGACAAAGTTTGCCATTGGATGTGAACACCGAACTCTGCGAATGGGACGGGGCCATCACCGATGGTCATACTTCCGACTGGATACCTCAGACGCGCTGTAACGTGCTGCACGCACATCGACGCACGCAGCGCCCAGTCCTATAGACATGAACGCAGCCGCAAATGGGAATCGATCGGCGACGACCGCTTGTGTTTTGAGAGAGTAAAGGATAACAGAAGACCAGGCACTGTCTTCACACAATCTGGCACTCTTCCATTCTTCTGTACTTTTCCAAAGCCCCAGCGCCAGTGGTGGTCGATACCAGTCTGGATGAATAGGCAACGCGTTCCCCACTCTCCGTACGCATGCGGGGCGGCACCGATCAATTTCCGTTCCGATTTCTGCGGCAGCTTTCGTGTTCGTGTCTACAACATTGGAGCGCAGCTGCAATTTTAGCGCGTCCCACGGGTCAGCAGTCATCGCAAAGTCTCATGGCTGCCTCACAAAACGATGTCCATCAGCGGCGGTGTATGTGTACCAGACGTAAGTTCCGAAAAGGTGGCGGAAGGAAAGCGTGAGAGCGGTCATGACAAACACGAGAAATCCGATATAAAAAGATTTCACTCAACTCACTTTTCAAAATACATTGTCACAATGACAATCGCTGGACAATACATGAGGCCAAATCCGACTCCCATGATGACGCCGACGGAGCACACGATATGCCACATCTCCGTGGCAAAATATGATAAACCACACCTGAAAGAGAATAAGCACGATAAGAAAAAATGCAGGTCTTGGGTGAGAAACATGCGCGAAGGACGCTTATTGCGTGTCAGTGTCAGTAAGCTTGAGAGATTACGTTGGAACCAGGGCACATCGTACAGTGGGCATTTCCATCGAGGTGGGGGAGGGAGTTGGAGGAATGGGTCATCGGTTGCCCTCTTCCCTCGGCTTTTCCCTATTTATAAGTGTCTGTATACCCCCCCACCTCTCCACTCGACGGCAGTGTTTGGGGAAAAACTGTAGAGTTTCTAAGTAATCTGGGAAAAGTGGTGGGAAGTTGGGAAAGGTTAGGAGGGCGGTGTGCACGATAAAGGTGGGGAGGGGGTCGTACAAGAGGAGAAGTTTTTTATTTTGCAAAGTTTTCGCTCAACGAGAGAACCTGCCCTGGTCGGAAAGCTAGGGGCGCGGCGCACACAAATTATAGCTGTTATCTCGGCGCTGGAGTAGGATTGCTCACAGATTTGGTTACGAGCACGGCTGCGATTAACAGTTGCCGGTACAGACATAGGGATGTGCGTAAGGAAGCGTGGACGGCACAAGATTCCTCTCACCCTTTTGGAGAACAATAACTAACTGTTTGCCGGAACCCCCACCCATGTCGAAATGTGGACTGCACCCTTTTGACCTCAAAAACCCTGCAATTGCGCTATTCAGTGGCATGTTCTGTGATTGCAGGCCGTGGGTAGTAGGTTGGAACATGAAATATTTACGCTAACTGACTGATCAGCAAAGAAAGCAGAAGAAACCGTCAAAACGTGCCCAATCAAACCCGGCTGAATTTTGTTTGGCGTGCGAGAGAGCACATAGCCCCGCAGGCAGGAAAGGAACATTAGTGGCGAAGTGGGATACAGTATGAGGGCTGTGACCACTAGGTAATCACACGTTGTGTCTTTTAGTCAGTCGCTCGTGTTTAAGGCTTACGTTCAAGCAAATTTTTCTCATTCGTATGTCATCACCACTTGGGTGTCATCCTTCAGAATAACCCCGATCATAAACTCCATATAAGGTTTAGCATGACTATAGCAGACATACTTACCCGACCGCGGCAATGAGTGCGCCGGTGATTGTCGTTGCTCGACATCCGTATTTATTACAAATCGCTGAGGCTAACGGACCACTTCCAAGCGTGAGTCCAGTGAGAAGTGAAATAATCATGGCACATACGGTGTTATCGGAGTTGAACTCCTGAAATGGAACTGAGAAGACGTAGGCAAGAGAAGTCCCGTTCGTTGAACTAAGAGAATCTGACTATACATTTTTAACCGAAGATTCAATTATTCTGCACATCAACGTTCGCCATAAAAGTTAAGAAATTAGAAAGGCTAAAGGGCCGTTGCCAATCAGATTTCAAAAACACTACAAACCGCTGCACAATCCACTCAGGAAGTCAAGTGCTTCTAAGAAACCGAATGAAGTTGGACTCGTGGCGCACTCTCGAGGGATTGATTGAGCTCATCCATTTCGTTCATCTATTGTTTCTCTCCCCCAATGTACAAAATTATAGACTGCGTGAAAGGATCTTATGAGGAAAACCATCGTTTAATTTGAAACGAAATCGAGATGTCTCAGGCAGATAGATTGCTGGAAAAAATCAGATAACGATTTCAGTCATTTCTACTAATCTTTCAGGGATAGTTTTCCAGGCATGAATCATCTAAAAGAACAAAATCTCCACGCATCACCTGAAGAATGAGTCGGAGGTAGTGTAGTGACACACATACCACACGATTGGCTGGGTATCCTGTTCGGTTCCCATCCAGGCCAACCAGCCTTCTACCCTCCGGAAAATGTAATGTGGTACCACATTCGTCTAAGAGGGTAAGAACACTGACAATGTACATCAGCTGGCCCTCATTGTATAGGTCAAATCACTTTCAAAAGGTCACTATGATTCTGAATGAGAGTAGAATGCACGCCTCATTCCAAAAAAAGACCAACGGCTGGGAATTTATCCTTTCATCTTTTCTTGACTTGAAGAATCTAACAAAACTAACTAACTTTGTTAGGTCCTTCAAGTCTGATCAACTCAACTTATGTAGCTCAAAATCCGAAGTTGGGACCAGCGTTTTCGGCTGGTCCCAACTTTGGACTTTAAAGGCACGTTCCGCGATAAACTAAGGCTAGGTTCTCATAACCGTGCACGATGGTCAAGCAGGCAACGTCAGAGGCTATGCTGCTTTTAAAAGTTGAAAAACAGCAAGCAAAACGCAGGGCGCTCAGGTTTTAGGCCCATTTGCGCCCGATAGGCCCATGCCGGCCTCCAGTGACCGTGTCGTTGTGAGACTGCCATTGCGCTCTCTCGCCCGTCATTTTCTGGCCTCTCTCGTCTCTTATCAGTGTATCGCCGCCTTTCGCAATTCACAATTGATCTTGACCACCTTACGCTCGTCCGGTGATCATGATCAATTGCAATAAAGAGGGTCTTATTCCGGGCGCTTTTTCGTGCTTCCTTCTTCTTCAATAAGTCAACAAACACACGGCAATTCTATTTTTGAACTGTATTACCTATGAACTGTGGTCGCGGGAATTGCCTTTAAGCTAAGAAAGCTAAGTTGAGAAAAGGAAAATTTAAAACTTTTTTTACTGAAGAAATGGAAGACTTCCATTCCGTGATTCTCTTAGGTTAAGTACAATGTGCGCGAGGTATGAACGCGGCCTGATAGCTAATCATTTTCTACTTGACTTTTTCCTCTTCCGTTTGGCTAGCAGGTTAGTCTGTATCAGAATCGTTCGCAACAATTTCAGAAATTGTTCCAAACGGTTTCTGATGAAAATGAAAAAAATAAATAATAACGTGTTCTACAGGTACAGTCGTCATCCTTGCACTTGATAGTCAATGTCAGTGCGGCTGCGTGCGGCGCGGTCGTCAGCACCCGTACTGCACCAATCGTTGAACCAGGAAGTGACATTACTGTATTATATCCTTCGTGTTACTCGTTTTCTATCACTTTTTGTCGCATACGCGTTTCAACGAAAAGGCTGAGAAGGCTTCAAACAGTGTGCACGCTCCTTCTCGCCGACACGCCCCTATCAAGTGCAAGGATGACGACTGTAGAAGAACCAAAATGGTCTTTGAAGTCGTTCAGTCGTTCGCCCTTAGATTTTGCCCCAAATTTCTACCATGCAATCTACCAGTAATTTGGTCACCCTTTGTTTACTGCTTCCGTTCGTAACCACATCTGCTGGAAATGTTCTTTCAGAGTCCGTTTTTTTTCTGTAAATAACAACTCATTTCAGTTTACAACGCATCATTTAGTACCCAGCTTATCTTCCGCTGTAATCTCGGCATTGGTTTTCAACTCCATAATATTTGCTTAATATTGCTGTGTCTGCCAAGTTTTTTAAATGGAATATTTATTTAACGGCCTGAAGTTACCATGTGGTCGTCTTCTTCAAAACATGTGTCTAGTTCGGAAGGTGAAAACTACCCTGTGAAGCGTCCATGTAACCCAGTCTCATTTAGCGTTCGCAGCAGCAGCGCCTGCGATGTAGCTAGCTAGAGTTATGACGCACTTATATACCGTACGTTAAGATGGATGGTTTCTGATTAATTTTTGGTTACTAGCAAGTCGAACAAAAGTATTTCTCCAATTCCACGAACACTCCGAAGAACATTGGAGCAGCTCCAGCGCTTAGAACAATAGGTCAAAAAGGGGTGAGATCTCATGCCTCATTGTTAGTGCTGCCTCACTCTTTGCATCTGCCTTCGCAAGAGGGTTTAAAGACAGCTCCCGCGATAAAAGTCTCATGGATAGCTGCTTTCCAATTATGAAACAGTAGCTGATAAGTAATCTCCCAAAGAAGAAAACAGGCAAGAAGCGTCCTCCACAACATAAACAAAATCGCTCCCTCACAGTTACACCTCCCTGCGGTCTCTGTGCAGCCCCTAGCTCACAAATCTCTCTATCACATCTCGCAGTAGTTGATATCATCCAGTGCAAAAGAAAGAATACAAAAAGAAAACAACAAAAACGCAGAGGAAAAACTCTTGGAAGGAAAAAGGAATTTTATCAACGCGGTGTCTGAATTTGGGATTACGGTAGCGCACGTTTTGTGCGTCGAGGTTTTGCATCACGAAAATTGCGTCACTCGTGCTTTTTACGCGTTTCACCTCGCGAAATGAGTTGAATTGAATGTATATACCTCCAATGAGTAAACTGTAATAAAGGGGAGCAGAATTATCCATGGGCATTAGCAATGCCCGCCGCCCCAACTAAGAACAACTGAGTGGCCTCCGTCGGAGGACATCTAGCAAGTAAGGCGGTCCAACTGAGCAGGCGTTAGAACTAGAACTTACAGCGGCTGTAGCTCGCTTCTCGCTCGCTGTGCAGACGAATAGAGTGGGACAGTCTCTAGCTTGGGGGCTGTACTACTTGCACAAGGAAGGACGACCATGTACTACTCGAGCGCGGGGCTGTCTTTAAGGAATCAGCATGGCAGGATCAAGGCAGGGATCTCCGCTCATTTTGATCTACAATCTCGAGCGCTGAAGGTGCTGCAGTGTACTAAGCATGTAAAATAAAACGTCCCCAACTTTTCTCTGAATTGAATTTTGAAACCGAAGCTAATATTAACACATTTCACAAGCCATCAAACAAAACGATTCGGCTCCACGTGGCCATGTGATGAAGGCAACATATCACATGGTCGGCGATGAATAAACAAGTTGCATAAAATAGCAACATAAAAAAAGAGATATTTCTATTATGCTCTACCCCACAGCAGATTCGCGCATGACTTGTCTTTTCCCTTTCCTGGTGGATTTGCGATTCCTAATCAATTATTTGAGCCAGAGAGTCTTCTGTTAGACCCCTGGGCAAGATGGACTTAAAGCCGGTGTGTGAAGAAAGTCTCACCATGTCCGCCAAGCTCTGCGCAGTCATTAGAGTAGTTTTTCGTGCCCAACTTATTGCCCTTCCATGCTGTAATTTCAAATCTTCCGCTGACAAGGGAACCCCAGCAGGTCGATAAGGTCATTTGAAATGGGATGTATATAGATGAACGTGTCTTGACCCACTGTATTCAATCTGCCCGAATTTGCGGAACGAATTGTCAGTAGAGAGTTGATATCCTTCTTCTGCACAGGATGAGTTCATTACTTTCAGGTGTCCTTGCACCACTTCCGCTTTCTCAGCAGCTACATCGTCGATTTGTCCGGTAGAGAACTCCCAGTTGTTCCCAGAATCCTACTTGGAAGACGGACTGCAAATGGGAAGTACAGCAGATGAAGAAGCGACTGGAGGTGTTCACCGAGGCACGCTCAAAGGAAATCCAGGAGAGTTCCCAATCAACCCAAACAAAATACTCCAGTTATTCACTGTCTACCATTCTATGTGCTAGCCGACATTCACTCGAGCTCTATGAGAATGCGGAATAATAAGTGTGAAGGGTAGGTCCGCAATGGACAACCTTGTGCCAGTCGCGCGGCGGAGAATTGTAAAGTAAAGGAATTAAGGCGCAAAGCTGCTATAGTGATACCAAGTTTTAGAGACTCCGCCTCCAGACCCTGCCTTCGAAGTTCGCCTTCCAGCCAAAAGCGATGTTACACAGATTCCAGACTTCGCGACGGCAGCGCTTCGGTCGCGCGTTCGGCGCGATAGATGCGCAACTGCATCGATCGCGTCGAACGCGCGACCGAAGCGCTGCCGCCGCGAAGGTCTGAACGCTGCCTTACCGCACAAGCAGCATCAACAGATGCGCTAGCGTCTGTTACGGGGTCACAGGGTTCATTACAAAGAACAGGATTATTGGACTCTCTCAACCCACGGTCTGCATTTTCTCTTCACAGGCGAGTCACTTAAAACTCTCTGCTCCATATTTCAACAAAACTACCTACGCTTTTATCGTGACCGTGTTTTTGGGGTAAACGGATAGCTACCGCAAAAGCCGCAACTATGAGGTTCAGATGGCAAGTATTAGGTTGTCCGGAAAGTTCTCAGCGTTTTGGAGTGTTTCACTTTAAACGATCGTAACTTTCTTAATACTCATCGGATTTAATCGAAATAAGCACCGTTCGAATCAGCACACTTTTGCCAATGTGACACCAGTCGATAAATCCCATCAAAGAAAAAACTGGGTGGTCGAGAATCCACGAAGGCTTTTTTTGCCTGGTCCTGATGAAGTATTTTCCAGCAAGGAAGTTCTGAAAATGTTTG